ACATCTGGACATGATGTGATGCGCATGCAGATTCACACCAGCTATGGCTATCTGTACAAGACCAGCACAAAGTCAAGCCAGACAAAACTCCAGCCTAGATGGAAAAGGGGCTCACGAGGTCTGACTCTTACTGCTTGTGGAAGGAAACTCAGGGAGTTCTTGGAGAAAGTTACCACTGGTAGGAAAGTTACCACTGGTAGGTTGGTTGCCCAAACCACTAGATGGCTTCACACTCATGCACATATGGGCAGTACTAAGCAAGAGGGCGTGTGTGTGTGTGTGTGTGTGTGTGTGTGTGTGTGTGTAGACAGTGTCTTACTGTAACACCCTGTTCCAGGCTAGCCTGGAACTTATTATAAAGATCGGGTTGACCTTGAAACCTGAACACTTGCCTCTACTTCCCATTCCCTGAATATCCTGATTAAAGGTGTGCTTTACCGTGCTAAGCGAGGAGTTTATCAAAAAAGTTTTTTAAAAGAGAGAGAAATGAAGTTAGGATGACGATGCAAATAGGGACCCAAGAGGTAGTAGGGGGTGGATATGATCAAACTACATTGTGTGCGTGTATAAGTGTTCATAGACTAAATAACTCATTGTTTAATTAATACAAAATGAAGAAGGACCCAGTTCAAGTACAGCACATCATAGCATGAGGAGAGAAGCTGGCATTAAACAAAAGCTGATTCTTCCGTTACAATGAAAATTGTGCTACGTTAAAAAAAAAAAAGTCAGAACATAGAATGGTGGCCTTATTTAATTGGGGATTTGATAAATCATTCATGTTGACATCCCAAAGAAAATGATACTTTCTTAGACTAAAGGAAGGTGAGGTCAATACCTCCAATTAAAGATAGTGAGGTGGGTATGTAGATGGAATTGAGACTAAATCTCACAAAGTCTCTCATAAACGGTCTGTTGTTTTCCAGCTGTCGGTTACTACCACGGAATACTCGAGATGCTTGCCTTAGAAGGAAGAAAGGTTTGTTTTGTCTTATGGGTTTTGACATTTTAGTTCATGCCCCAAGATGCTCCTTTGTTTGTGACTGGGAGCAAACACATTTTGGTGGAAATGGCATAACTTGGCAAAGATACTCACCACATGGCTGGGGACTGACAGAGAGGAATCCTCAAGTTCAGAAATCCTACTTTTACATTTAGGAGCACAATGCCAATAACCATAAAATTTCCAGTAGGTCTCATACATGTAATATTTTCACCGTCTCCCAACACCATTAATGTTGAAGTTAGTGAATGGGCTGCTAGAGGACATTTCCCATCAAGACTACAGCAAGCAGTGAGTTTAAGCACAGACTTTCAGTTTCTAAGCCCTATCAGCAACTTGGCCGAAAGCTGCATCTCAGGATGCACTACAATCTTTCAAATACAACAGCTCTGGAGCATTTGAACAGAAAAACCTCCCGAGTTAATAGCAATTCTCTCTAGGGGTTCCTACTAGGGATATTAGTTTTTCATATTCTTTATAGAATCACACATTATTTTTATAAGGCAATGGAATGTGTCATAACAATCAATTTTACTTTTAAAGGAAAACCATTCAGGGAAGAATGATGTCTACACTGTGTGGTTGCCTAGTGTAGATTGATTGGCGTATGATAAGTTGGTTGGAGAAATGCCTGGAGTAGGCTCTGAAGTGTTTATTCCATTCTATTAAATTCATTCCCAAATCCCCAGGACTGGGCATGAAGCCTAGAATATTGCTCAATAAATATTTGTTGAATGAATCCATAAGTAAACTTCCAACTAAAATTACAGATATTAATTATAAAGCTGCTGACCATGGAAGCTACTACCTTGAAGAAAGAGACAAAAATTGTACATCTTTCAGGTTCTAGTAGATCTTACTCAACCAGGAAGTGATGTGGAAATGAGAAAGGCCTATTTCCTGTTCCAGATCCAACTTTTAACTACGCCCCCAGTTAATTCAGGACCCACCAAGGTAAGTAGACACTGGTAATTATGATCTTTGAACACCTTTAAAACCATCATTAGGAAACTTATTGATTATCTTATGGAAAGACTGCTCTACACAATGTTTGCAATACAGACTGAACCCTAAAAGAATAAACTCTGGTTGGCCTCTCTGGTAAAACTAACATTTAGCACAATAAACACAGAAAACCTTTATGGGACTATAATTTGTGGTTTCACAGCATCTTTGCTAATGATGAATTTCTTTTCAGCTAAATGTGTTTAAATAGAGACTGTTACACATCTTTGAAGCCTCAGAAGAAGGGAACGTAGGGTCGCCTAAAATCCCAAATGCTCACATCTTTTTGTTTCCAAATTAATCCCAAACTGTCACCAACAGCACATAAATCCTTTTATGCCATGGTAATCAAGAGTTCATCACATAATTTTCAGTATGAATTATTTTACTCTAGTTCAAGAAATCTGGTCTTGCTTCTTTTTTTCTGGATTCTTTCCCTTGGCCTAGGAAACAGAAAATAAATCTCACACCATCTTCATCCATTTCTTCTCTGCCGTAACGGAGTGTACTTTTGTTTAGGCTAGCTACTGCCCACTAAATACCACTTCTGTGTGAGATGCTTCACCAAGCAACCCACCACTTCCTCCGTCTCTCACCCTGCTAGTCATACATGTGAAAATGAGCATTCTGTCATGACTCCAGAACCTGCAAACCTCTCCTCTTTCTACCCCATGTCACCTCTCCCATGCAAGTAACTGAGATCAAATGGTTTTAAGATGCTGATCCTCCCAACTCCAGTGCTAGTAACATCTGGTGTTTTTATTAAGTCCATACACAGTTCCTAGGTCTTCAAGTTGAAAGGAGACTAACGTAAAAGGACAGCAAGTACTTTTTTAAAAATTCCCTTAAAACTTAGTATTGTGGGTGGTAGAAAACTAGAGGACAGCATATACTTGGATAAATCCCCCAAACCCTAAGAGGTTGTTCAATTTTCTTGTTTTGGAATATATCTAGTTTTACTTGGGGATTGTTTGATTCTGGTTTTCTTCTGTATGGGCATGGAAAATTTAGTTCTTATGATTTTTTTTTTAAATCTTAGCTCTACAAAATGTTTATATCAGGATGGTAGTTGGACTTGAAGACAGCTCGAAAGCCAGCAATCTAGAAATTTTGGGTGTAATTATAAAATTTAAAATAGCCAATCCTGTACTCTCAGCAATTGGGAAGCTGAAGCAAGAGAATTTCTGTGAGCTCGAGGGCAGCCTGAGCTATATATAAAGACCTTGTCTTAACAACACAAAACGAAATAAAGAATAACTCTCCCAATAGACTTTTGTAGTATTTATGATCCTAAATTTTGCCCATATGTAAAATGGGGAAAAATGTCATTCTGTTTCAGTCTTCATGAGGTACCCTACAGCTTCAAATTGAGAACAGATGTGGTGGTTTTCATGCGGATGGTCCCCATAGGTTTTCATAGTTGAATGTTTGGTCCTCAGTTGGTAGAGCTGTTTGGGAAGGATTTGAGGTGTGGCCTTGTTGAAGTAAATGTGTAACTGGGGTGGGCTTGGAGGTTCTAAAATCCACACCATTCTCAACCCTCTCTCTGCACTGTGCTTACTAAAGGCGTAAGCTCTCAGCTATGGTTCTAGTACCATGCCTCCCTTTGCTGCTGCCATGCTCTCTTCCCTGATGGCCATGAAATCCCTCTCTAAAGCTGTGAACTTGCTAGTATGCTCTTTCTTCTATAAATTACCTTGGCTGTGGTGTTTTGTCACAATAGAAAAGTAACTAAGATAACAGGCTTGATAAATTCCTTTATCAAAAGTTTTATCAGAGTTAATGGGTCATTGTATTGTTACAAAACTATTGAGTTAAACATTGAGATTACCTGCTATAAAGTGCTATTAGAAAAGCAACTATTTGTAAATCATGACTTTAGGAGGCAATACAGATCTTGCAAATTGCATTGAGTTTCAATTTCTCGATGAAAATGTTGTGACAGCCTGTATTCTTATATTATCTAGCACTATCTAATGAGTCATCTTGTACTGAGCTTCTCTGAAATGTATAGCTCTATATTCAGACCTGGGCGGGGGGAACCAAGTCAACCTTAACTGCCAAATCAGATTAAAGAGATTTCTCTCCAAATTTTCTCAGTATTTTTTGTCTTCCTTGCACTTTCTTCCAAGGACCCACATTAAAAAAATGTGTTTATAGTCATATGAAAATCCTCCAAATTATATATTAGGGTTTTGTAAAAGAGAGGGGAGGGCTAGGGAGGCAGTTCAGTGACTGAAAACTTCATTAACATGTAAGAGGTTCTGAGTCAACCTGCAGTGGATGGGAGAAAAGATGGGAAGGAGAAAGAGAGAGAGAGAGAGAGAGAGAGAGAGAGAGAGAGAGAACACCATCCTGAGGAAGAACAAATAGAAAGATAATAGTTTTGCTACTTCAAACCACCCTAAGCTTTATCAACCCAGGAGGAACCCAGGATGTAGAAGAGGTAACAAAAATGCTGCTATGACCTCTACTCTCTGGCATTTTCATTAATGAACTGCATGCCCTACTTCCTCCATGATCTCAATAAGACTAACACTAATCTTCTGATGTTGGCAAGTCCCCCAAAAGGTATGTGCATCCACTTTTAGCCATGCTTGGTTCTTGAGACTCTACTTTGTCAGAGTCCTCATTTACCAGAACTCCTGTGTACTAGCAGTTTCTATATCCAGACAAAATTTCTAGGCCTCCATGTATTGCCTTGCATCCGACTTGAAGCTGCAGCATGTTCTTTTGAGACCTTTTACTCATGAGGCTGCACCCTGCAGTATTTTCAGAGGTCTGATTCCTATAAACTAGAATCAGCAGATAATCAGGAGATTTGAAACGTCTTTGTTGGTTTCTTGTATTTTCCTGTCTTACAACACAAGGAAGGTTGGCCCTGGATGATACCACATCAACTAAACAACTAAAAACACAGGACCTAACAGGAAACTCTGCATTTCTCTCCAAAAGTGTGAAGAGCAAACTCGAGTGGCTCTGGAAAACCTACCGTAGCAGGTTGGGTTTTCACGTTAATGCGCTGACATTTTGTGGCGATCTTGGAGGGAGATAGGTTCCTGAAAATTTGTTTACTTGCTTTATGTTCTTTTTTTATTTTCTGATTTACTCAGTTCTGGTCAGCTCTGATCATTTGCTTAGATATCTTTCTGCCGCCAGCAGTCTTGCAATCCTAAGAAGAGAAAAAGAAGTGTGATTTTAATAAGGCTGTGTAAGGAGATCAATAAATAATTTAAAGCGGGGTTTTTCGAAATCTGTACAACTATGAGCCTGTAACTATGAGTCAAGTATGAGTACGTGAAGGAAAGAGTGGCAAGAAAAGAGGGTTCACCTCAATCTGGACCAGCTTCTCTGACTAGAGACAAGAAAGAAGAAATTTCCTCTAGTTTTCAGCCTAGGCTTCATGGAACCCCAAGGGTCTAATAGAGTTATCGGGGGAGCTGTTGTGGGAAAAGGGGGAAGCTGAATGAGGAACCAGAAAGCAATTGTCACCAACTGCTTTGAACAGTGGAACTCCATAGGAAAGTTTGTTCAGGGAAATGTGTTCACTAAAATGAATTTGAAGATGTGAGTAGCACAAAGCTTTACTGTTGGATTCAGCCCAGGAGATCCTATGGAGTAGAGTAATAAGGATGGAATTGGCAAGAGTGTATCCTAGGTCTGATATTTGTGTGTGTGTGTGTGTGTGTGTGTGTGTGTGTGTGTGTGTGTGTGTATGTGTGTGTGTGTCCAACCCTGGAAACACTTTCTTCCTTTTGGAAGGCACCATCATTTTCTCGTAGTTTCAATGAAGACATCTTTAAATAGGACAAATAAAAAATTTGAGCATTTACCATGTTTGCTCTTTTTCATTTGTTTTACCAAGTGCTCAACCTACAAGATAAACACTTCCCTCCATTTGCTTCAGCTGAGACAAGTTAAAAGATAGCCATCCACCCAGTAACCAGCCCTACAGTGTGTTCCTGGCCCTTTCCGGCTTGTCAGCCCATCTGTGAGCCTCCAGATAGAATGAGCTATTTCGGAGCTCTGCTGAATCACATGTAAAATGTAGACACTATCATTTCCACTGTGCACGAGCAAAGATTCAAATGAGCTGGTACATGGTCATGATTTTCACGGTAAAAACAAGCCCTCTTGGTAATAGGTGATGTGAGCTCTAAGAGTTTGAATTTGGTCTAACCAGTAAGATGGCTAACCAGCAGGTCTTATTCAGCCATCTTACCAAGTAGTTGTGGACGAAGAGCAAGGCGCAGGGTGGTGCCTACCACATTTCTGGGATTAGAAGCAAGCTACTTTTAAGTTGCCAATTCTACGCCTGAAAAATAAGGCGACACCCTTCTCTGTGCGCAGATTCCAGACACAGTTATTGTGACGCCTGGCTGAAAGTAATTCTAAGCACAATTCTCAGCCCCGTGTGGCGTTTTTAGGGAAATGTAAATGACCATGCCAGTGGCTAACAAATTCTTTTTATAAGTCTGAGTGAGGAGATCTGAAACTAATTGAAATTGAAATCATCAAATTTCAGTTCAGAATTGACTTTGAACTGAAATTTGGTACAAATACGGACCACAAGTGAGCTCACGAAGGAATGAGAATGGGTTACGTGGAAGAGGTTCTTCACACTCGAGAGCAGGCTCACTGTTTGGAAACCCTGGAAGAGAAGACTTTATCCACCAGTCACCCTATGCTTTACACAGCAGAAATGGTCCAACCAACGAGACCATCAACTTGTGTCTATTAGGTGACATTCGCATTCATCATCAAACCCCTCTCTATCTACAGAAAGATGAGATAAAGCTGTATTAGAAGATTCTATTAATATTTATCTAGTGATACTATTATGTGCTTTTGAAATGGAAGCTGTGACAATGCCTGGGAACCTTATAAGCAGAACGCAGGTGGTGGGAGCTTTGAGTTGCCCAGTTTTGTTCAGAGACCATTCTTCTAATTCTTCCTGTATCTTTGTTATTGTTTACAGCTTCCTGTAATGATTCTGTGCTCTTAGTTCTTTTTTCTTTCCCCCGAAACGTAGGGTGTCTGATAGAGCCATATGTGGACTTCCCTCCTTGGTCAAGAGGTAGTATTATGGACTCTCAAGTGCAGAACAGACTTCTGAGTTAGACACTTGACGTCATATACTAAAAGCAGTTCATTCCCCCTCGTGGTTCACACTTCAGAAAGCTCTGAGATATTTAAATGAAATGTGTATTTTTGGCGCCCAGTGTTTCTATAGCAAAAGGTTACAGTCATTAGGTTTAGGAAACATCTTTTCTTTTGGTGCTTTCTAGAGTAGAAAATTTGAATAAGGCTTAGGCAATTGTTTTGGAGCTAAAGGCTTGATGCAGCTTTGGGAGGATGGTCGTTTCAGAAGAGCAGTTTCTCAGAGGCCACATCCTGCCTTTCAGAAGCAGACATCACCTTCCACCAGAGAACAGCTCCTTCCATCCTGCACTTCAGGAGGCACTGGGCATCAGCCTCCCGAGTTCAGTTTCTTCTTAAGTCTTCTGCTGCGTAAGTATGGAGTGCATTAAAACACATGCTGTCTCTGACTGTTAGCCCTCATGGTTACATGAAGATGCATTGGCAAGTTGTCCAAGCATGGAGCGGGAGTAGAGATTGAAAGAGAATCAACAGATTCTTACAGGATGTATACCTGCCAAAATGGGACTTTACCTGTGTGGCCTTGTACTGTACTATTTGGTTCAAGGTTGAAGCCAGCATTTGTCCTGATTGGTTGGTGCCTGTGTCATTACAATTGTTAGGGGGTTTTGTGCATCCAATGTGGATGCAAAGGTACCCTCTGAAACTAAGTTGGTGAGATGTAAGTGGATATTAGGAACCACCTTCAGAAATATCTCAAAAGGATTCTGTAAATGTGACCCCTCAGAAAGTATAAAACCAACCAATTTCAAGATGTGAACAGAAGGAGGTAAGGCTGAAATGGGATCAGAATCAAGAAATGGCATAGCTAGGCAAACGTGTGTGTGTGCGTGTGTGCGTGTGTGCGTGTGTGCGTGTATTCTTCTGATTAGGAATTGCACTGGTTCGTTTTTATCAAGTTGACACAAACCAGCGTAACCCGAAAAGAGGAAAACTCAGTTGAGAAATGCCTCCATTAGACTGTCCTGTGGGCAAGTCTGTGGGGCAGTTTCTCAGTTGATGATTGGTATGAGAATGCCCAGCTCGCTGTGGTCTGTGACACCCTGGGCAGGTAGGTCTGGGATGTAAAAGAAAGCAAGTCAGCTGAGCAAGACACAGAGAGAACGCCAGTTTACACCACTCCTCCATGGCCTCTGTTTTAGTTCCTGCCATCAGTTCCTGTATTCGGATCCTGCGCTGACTTCTCTTCATGATATGCTATAAGCTATAAACCAAATAAACCCTTTCTCCCCTGCCGCCCGCAGCTCAGGTAGCTTTAGCTCAGTGTTTTAACACAGCAGCAGAGAAGAAACTAAGGCAGAGATATTGTTTAGTTACCATCACATAGTTCAATACCTGAACTTCTATATTTAGCGATTCTGTTTAAAATTAACATTAGAGGATCCACGCTCAGTTTCCAGCACCCACATGGAAGCCCATAGCCATCTGCAACTGCAGTTCCAGGACATCAGATAGCTTCTCTTTTCCCCAGGGACCAGGCACATACATGGTGCACAAACATGCATTCAGGCAACACAGACATAAAAATAAAAACAAACAAGTCTTTAATGGAAAGAAATGCAACATCTACGTTATATAAACTGATATTCTGAGGTATAAAAATGTCCAAGTTATACAAATTTTCTGGAACATTTGTAAAAACATCTGGGCACAGTAATGACATGGCTGGGTTGTCACGTGCATTTGATCCAAGCACGCGGGAGATGGCAGCAGGATGATTAATACGAGAGCCAGTGAGAGTGCAGTGTGAATCTGTTGATACTTTTGCTACAGATCAAAGCCTTGTCTCAAAGTTTTAAAAATTATGAAGATTTATATCCTTGAAAGTGAGCAAATAGATACCATTGCCAAAAAAGTAATTCTCGGCTGCAATTTTTTAAACGTGGTAATTTTTATTTGAAAGCAATTTATTAGTGAGTATAAATATTAAACAAGCATATATTTTAAATGGTGTATTTTTTAAAAATTATGTGTATAAAAGTATTTCCTTCCCCACATGTATGTGCATTCGACGTGTGTGCCTGGTGTTCAGGGAGGCCAGAAGAGGACACTGGCTTCTCTGGCCTTAGAGTTACACATGGTTGTGAACCTCCATGCAGATGCTGAAAGCTGAATTTAGTTCATCTGCAAGAACATCAATTGCTCCTAACTGCTGAACCATCCATCCAGTTTCAACTATATTTTAAAATTGTTTTTAAATGAGGAGACAGTATGTGAGGACCTAGGGAACACATTGCTACAACCATTTCTCTCCAAAATTCATGTAGAAAACAAACATGGAGGGCAAGACAAGAAATTGACACTTATTTCTGTCAGTTTTTACCCTAAATCGCAAATGTGCACCCTGGTAAGACAGGCTAAGCATGCAGAGGCCCCTGCTTCAATTACTGATGCATCTACCCATTGCCCCTTTGGAGTCAAATCAGAGCCTCTGATGTCACTGTTGTGTCGTGCTGATGACAAGGAAGGGAGACACAAAAGCCTTCCTGCCAAGGCAACAGGAGAGCGACCTGCAACGTCTTAAGTTCTATGGGACACTATTGTGCTTAAATTGTCCACTCTGTCTATGCTTTCTCAGGGTGAGATCGGCCTTCGACAGGGGCAGTTCCTGGCCATCGTTTGTGCCATAAGTGTAGGAGAAAGATTTTTCAAGAAACAAAATAAAACAAACACACACCTATCGATAAGGATTTGACAGTCTTTGAGGAGTGCCTCACTAGAAGCTCTCTGGGAGGGCCTCAGTACTTGCCCAGGCTTGTGGATTTAGATGAGGGGCGTGGCAGCAACAAGAGGGAACCAGAGGCCTGGAGCTCCCCCTAGAGGCCAAATCTGTTCTACCCTGACTGACCCAAACTTACTCTAGACAGAAAGCAGGACCCTCCATGTTCTGTCAGCATTGTCCAGGAAAAAAGAGAGAAACTGAACTCAGCGGACAGAGCTGGGTACCCGAAAGTAGGTGCAGGTCTGGAATGCTGTTAACAGAAACTGGCCTCCAAAGGCTGGCCCTGGAAG